TGCACCTGAATTCCATCATGGAAGGCATCAGCCCACCTGTCCACTTTGCAGCACGTGTCAAAACAGACATGGCGGTGACCGCCTTGGAGCATTGGCTGGACCAGCTGCAGGACAAGAGCCCCCTGGGCCACGAGGAGGTCATCAAGCTCAAGATGCAAGAGCGCCGGCTTATTGTGGCCATTCGGGGTGCTTTGGAGCTAGATGTTGCGGAGAACTCGAGGCGCCTGAGTGCAATGATGCGCGAGAGGCTTTGGCTGGTCGAGGAGCTTGCAGAGGTAGACCGGAGGGCCGAAGAGTTTCGCCAGGAAATGCTACATGACGGTGCCTTGGACGTGCAGTCGGCCGCCCAGGGCCACTTCCTGGTTGCGCGTGCTCAGCCGGATCGGTTCTTCCGGGCCAGCCTTGTCACGGACATACAGGAGTGCAGCACTAACCCCCACTTCCCCCTATCCCCCCCACATGACCTACACTTCCATGCGTGTTCAACAATAAAGGTTGGTGCAGACTAGTGCAAACCTGGCAAAATCATGGAAAAGAAGCTTCTTTCTAAGTGCTGGACTGGTGTCAGTGCAGCCAGAGCACGGAGATCCTGATCAGATTTTGGTTCGGGGCGGTCGTGGGGCAGGGAGGGATTCCGAGGCTATTCCTGTTGCTATCATCTTTCTTTCACTCTTTCTCTTACTCTTACTCTGACTCTGTCTCTGACTCTCACTCTTACTCTGACTCTGACTCTTACTCTTAGCCATACTCTTACTCTGACTCTGACTCTTACCCCTTACTCTTCCTCTTACTCTTACTCTTACTCTTTCTCTTACTCTTACTCTTACTCTTACTCTTACTCACTCGTACGATTGCTGCTACTATACGATTACTTTTACGATTATGATTATTTCTATTCCTATTCCTATTCCTATTCCTATTCCTATTCCTATTCCTATTCCGAGTTGTACTACTATTAACTATTGCTATTGCTATTGCTAGTACTATTACTGTTGCTATTGCTATTACTATGTTATTACTATGACTACTACTATGACTGTTACCATTACTATTCTTCTTCTTCTTATTATTGTTATTGCTATTATTATTATTATTATAATTATTCCCCACCCTCGGTGTGGGGTTGCTAGATTTTAAACTCAACTTTTCTCCTCGCCCGGAACTCTTCTCCTCGCCCGGAACTCTTCTCCTCGCCCGGTCTACTCCTCGCTCATTCCTGGAGTGCCCAACCCCAAATGTCCCTGGAGTGCCCAACTCTAGAGTGTCCCTGGAGTGCCCAACCCCAGAGTGTTCCTGGAATGCCCAACCCCAGTCTCCCTGGAGTGCCCAGAGTCTCCCTGGAGCCCAACCCCAGATTTTTCCGTCTCCCTCAATCGCTCAACCCAGCCCCAGAGTGTCCCTGAAGTGCCCAACCCTAGAGTATCTCTACCAAGAGAGGGTGGGGATGTTCGAAGTAAAATAATTAATACTATTACTATCACTATTATTATTACTATAACTATTACTATAACTATTACTATGTGTGAAGCCGGGCGTCCTTCGAGGCCCCTACGAGCCCGCGCCACGGCACGACCGCAGGGCAGCTACCTAACAGCAACTACCGAAGTCTACCATGCCAACAGCGCAAGAGAAACACTCACATCTTGAGCCAAAATATGGCTGTGAATTACAAAAATCACACATGCAAAGTGAAAGCGTGGGGCTGCAGATGCAAATGCACTCATGTCAACTCACATTCGCCCCTCAGCCAAGGCTCTGGTGAGTGACAACGCGCAAGGAGGGGAGGGCGCCGTTGCACGGCACGGGTCGTGCCCGCACATGCTGAGCATCAGGGTAAGGCGGCAAAGGCGAACGCCTGCACACTACCACGGCTCTCGCGCGAACGAACGACCCTCGACAAGCAACCCTCCTAAACCAGCCCTCCTAAACCAGGTGGGCGGTTTTCACCTTTTGGCAGAGGCGGGGTCGAGGCTCCGCTGCATCTGCAGTCAGAAAGTATGGTACAAACTACTCGGGCAAAGCTGCAGCTACTTCCCTACTAAGCTACACCTACTGCCGGCTCGGGAGTAGCCGCGCATGGGCCCATGCCGCAGGCTAAGCAACTTGCGTAGCCGCGACCTAAAGGTCCGCTGGCTCAAAGCGAGGGCTCCTTCGGCTGAAGGGCCACGGGGCTCAAGCCTGCGGTGGCTGCCCTATAGGTGTGGCAGCAAAGGGGCGGCGTGAAGCAAAACGCAGGCATCAGACCTGTTGCGGCGACCACGCCCGCAGACAAGAGCAAACGGCACGCTTCGGTGCCGCGGCATGCAAGCCCACGGGGCACAGTCTAGACTGTGGCACGCTGACCTCGGGCGAAGGTACACAGGCCGGGTGCATAGCTGCGCCGTGGCGCAAGGCCCGCAAGTGGCTGCAGCAAACGTAAGCGCACCCTAAAGAAAGAGAAGCCTCTGCCGATGCAGTGACTAAGCCACTTAGCGGGTGGCGCCGCCGCAGTATGGACTCACTGCAGCGTTTGACGTGGAGCGGACTCCGGCACACATGTGCCGCGGCAGACCAGCCCGCTAGCAAGGTGCTCACCTGGCACTCTTGCTCTGCACTGCCACTACTACTACGACGACTACTACTATTATGACTACTATTACTACTATTATTATTACTCCCACTACCGCTGCCACTACTAGTAGAAGTACAACTAGTTTTGTTTCCAGTACAATGTTTGAGGCTTGTTTTCAGCTCATGCAGGAACTGTTGTCGAAGCAGAACCTGGCCGTGGCGTATTTGTGCCTCGATGTGGCGGCCCCCGCCCTCGGGCTTCGCGGAGCGCGTGATTACCTAAGTCTGCAGTCCTTACAGGCTGGCCTGGAGCAGCGCATCGTCGATTGCCTCGAGACGAGAGCCAGCCAGCAAGCACACACAGCCCCTCACAGCTTCGACATACCGCTACTGCACAATGCCACCTTCGAGCCTCTGGTGTCTGAAGGTTCACTTCGAGTGTGCATTCCACCCCCAAGCATTTCGGCAAATGGCAGCTTCTATGTCGATGGCAGAGTAGAGAACGTCGCTGTGTACCTCCTGGGCATCAGGCAGAGACACACCGTGTCCATGTTTGTCGAGCGCAGTGGCCCAATTGTCATCGTCACCCCCGAAGGTGAGTTGGCATCATTCACCGTTGACCTGCGACAGTGGCTCTTCCAGTACGAAACAGGCATGTGCCGACCAATCACAAGTCCAGAGAAAAGCTGCCAGCAGAATGACTTCAGCAGGGTCTCCGCGTATGGCTGCTGGAAGGTGACGGTTCTGGAGTTCGACAGCTTGCCGTTGGAAGAGGTCACAGGCCTGCGCTTCGTCTTCGACATTTCAGCCAGAGTGAAGGTGAACGTGTCAAGCAAAGCTGCAATGGTCATGTTTCCTGATATGAATGAGCAACGGGCTATGCGAGCGGCGCAGTGCTTCTAAGTGTTGTACTGCTTCCAGGCAGCTAGATGGTTAGCTCAGCTGAAGGTTGAGCTCCGCTGCCTGGGCTTCGCTGACATGCACTTCCTCATGTGGGGGGCTGGTCAAAATTATGAGCCCTTCTTGATACCGTAGGCATCCCTAAACCATGACAAAAATAGGGACCCCCCCTGCTTAAATGCTTAAAGGGCCCGCACGTTTGGCCAGGCCCCCCATTTAAGCACTCTTTTTCAAGACTTGTCCGACAACTCAGCAAAGCGAATTGTAGCGCTCTCGGCGGCCCTTATGACAGGACGGCCATGCAGAGAAACAGCTGTGCAATGTTGTGCGTTTGGTGCAACATGCATTGGGATTTGGGACTGCAAGTGCATTCAGCCAACTGCTACGCGTGTTGGCAGGCTTGCTGTGATGAACTGTGATGACCAGGCAGCAACAACAGTTGACATCAATAGCCATAGAGTTCGGTCAAGAAAAAAGGTATTTCCCTCGATTTCTTTGAACTGAGTGTCGCGGGCTCTTGAACCAAGCTCTTTCAAGCTGAGTGCGATCAAGCTTCGTACAATTAAGGCACGGTCTACGAATCACTACAACATTGCTTCCATGTTAGACATGTCGGAGGGTGGCATGGCACGGAGTGCCGCTTTAGACGCGCTGTCTTCTCGCATGACTGTTAGCGAGACACAGACGCCCAAGAACAGCTAGGCTTCGATAGACGGCTCTGTCGCCTGGACCGATCTTGAGTAGATCGTGGTTTTCATTCTTTGCAGATTTGGGGACTAAGGATTAAGGGTGTTGGGCTGACGGGCTGTGTACATTGCACGAGTTTGCGGGCTAGCGCCCCAGCTCTCCACCTGGTCGCGTTTGTGTATTCGATTTGCAGCATGGTTGGTGTTGCACTTGAAGGGCTTTGGTGTTTCAGATTCAGGATCATGGGTGCTACCGACCACCTCCGAGGTTGCCTTTGGTCAGCATCTACTTCTCGATGAACCCCGCGGCTATGCAAAACATTGTTTGGGGATCGCTTGATGGACGTGTGCGATGGTAAGGTGTTCATCTAATATCGAAACTTGAGATGAGCTCGTTTGCTGGGTTCATCCCGAGCCTTCTGAGCAGCTGGTGCAGCTGGTGCATGCGCATTTCTGCCTATCTGAAGATGAATGATTCCGGGGCGAAGGGCTACATGATCCTGTCGGCGGATGTCGAGAATTCGACCAGCGTCAGATCATGACCAGTGGCTGCAAGAGCTCCCAGCTTTGAACCATGTGTGGCACTGTCGCAGTGAGCCAGAAGGAAGAGAGTTAGGGCAAACTGTTCACTGTGGAGGAGGATGGGACGGAGATCCCGCACCTCGCTGCGCAGTTGGGCAATGTTTCCAACGGGGCCGGCTGCGTACGCTTCCGCTTGAGCGAAGACAAGAAGTCCCCCCCTGCGTGGCATATGTGATATGTGTGCATACCTACCACATTGCTGGGTTTCCCTTTATTTATTCGGAATCCCATGTCCCCTGTTGTCGATTAGCTTCGGGCTCAGGGCTTTGTCGCGTTTGCCAGGCACGACCTTGGCGCCTCCTTCGCGCATTCCTTGCAGGGCCTGCTGGGCGTTGGCGCAGTGAGCTGGGGGCCCTGGTGAGGGTTTAAGGGCGTTCAGGCTTCAGGGTTTAAGGTTTGCTGACCTGCCTGCATGCAAATTTATAAGTAGCTCGCTTTAGCCAATGCTAAGTACTGATGTCCATTCCTGCTACTGTGCACACAGGAGTGTTAACACCCTAAGCCCCGTGAGCCTGCATGGGGGCCTGCGATCCCGCTGTGACGTGCCCTGAGCTATGCATCAGCCCTGTTGCAAACGATCTTGGAATACTCATCATGCCGGGTTTCTGAAAGCTTTCCGGAAAATCCAGCCCCAAATCCCAAGAAGCTGCAGCCTTTCCTGATAAGTTGCCATGCAGTCGCTAGGCGCAGGGGATCTGAGCCATCCACTCGTGAGGCCGGGAGGTTGTGGTTTTGGGGTACCGAGTGGGTTGAGGATTCATAGGGTGGACTTGATGGAGCTGAGTCATGAAGGTTGGAAATCAAGCGCCCTGACCCAGGCTCGCTTACTTCCTGGATGGGGGTATCCCGGGCCGTCTCCATCTGCTCCTGGAGGCTGGGGCACAGGGATTCCGGGTTTCGGAGGGACCCAGGGCGAACAAGTCTTGCAGATCTTGCTACGGACTCGGAATGTATGAGGTATAGGGGTGTCGGACATGTGCGAACAAGGGCGGCATGCTAAGCGCTGGGACTTGATTCATTGATTCTTCACCCTGTTACATAGGCCCCCCCCCCAGACCCAGTTGAATTTCGTGGCCCCCTATTGTAACTTTAAAGTCTTCGCGATTTGGGGGTTGAATGAGTTACTTTAGTTTCAATAAGGTAGCGAAGAGTTAAACTCCAGGTGAGCCAAGGATAGTAGCGGCCTGTGTCATGGCCCGCGCACCCCGAACTGCAAATGTGCTCGCAAGGCCTTGGACAGAAAGCGCACTGGGCTGCTCTCGACAGAGGCTTCGCAACTCGCAGCTGTTAGAACCCCGGGTTTCGGGCACTGCTCTGATGTTGGGCCCCGTTCCTGAGAAGCCTGTACCACGCATCCTCCTAAGCTGAAATTCCGTAGGTCTTGCGGGCCCTGCGCCCTACAAACCTTATGAAGCGAGAACGGGGTTCAAGCAGGTTCGCGGTCACTGCTTGAGCTTTTGTGGTCAGGGTTGCAGGTGCAAGGTCGAGGATTCAGGTGTGGAGGGCTGTGGTTCCCGGGCCTTGCTTCAGAGCCTTTGGAGGGATGTACGGCTTGGTTTCGGATTTTGGGGGTTCTTTTCGTTGACTCTTGACGAGGATTTCTGCCTCGGCATCGAGCTGATGGCCCGGCCCTTGGCCGCTCAGAGAACTGGATGCCCCGCAGTCTCCGAAGCTCTAGGGTTCAGGGTTTCAGGGCTTTTGGGGTTTTAGGGTTTTGACCATCCTGGCAACTCCTCCATTTGGAAGTCCTTGTGCGGGTTGGGCCCGGAGAGGCCAGTGGAGGAACCCCAGGCCCCAAGCGCTAGCCCGCAGCCAGAGGATGGACTGTGCACCTGGGAGTTGGAGAACCATCGAGGGAGGTTAGTGTTTAGGGGATTCCGGGTTAGAGTTCAGCGTTTGTGGCTTGTGGTGTTCTTTCTCCCAAGCAACTGACGGCTCCTGGCTTCAGGGCTTCGCATGTCTAAGAACTCATAACTGTCATAACTACTCATGAGGAATTTCAAGCAAAGTTGTTGTGGCAGAGGTCCTTAGGTGCATTCAGGGATATTCAGGGTAGTTCAGGGACTGCCCAGGGCTTTGCCGCGCCTGACTACGGCGAGATTTGGGCGATGCTGGATGAAGAGGGCCGATCCATGCTGCGTTCTGCTGTCGTTGGGGTGTGCTGTCTACGTAGTGCCCCTTTTGGTGTACATACTTACAAGAATGCATGTTTCAGACAGTCTTCTACACTGTAGCTGCAGAAAGCGGGCTTGAACAGTATGAGAGTACTTCTGGTTCAGGGTTCCCAGGATCTTGAGCCTGCAATGGAGTTTGTTTTCGGTGAGATGGGGTGGTTTGCCCGCGCCGCATCGGGAAGCATCGTGCAAACCTCGTTTGGACTGCGCAGGCGCGTACTTTCGGGGCTGTCTGCACTCCGTAACTCGCGCCAATGCACGCGGCAAATTCCTGAATTCGATGTTGAACATGTGGACGTTTTGTTGCGTCGAAGCTGCTCTTCCCCTTATATAGAACGGTGGCATTCCAACGTTTTTTTCTGCAAAAACTGTCAGTGCAAAAACGCTTCTTGTTCTTTTCTCGCCCACTCAGCCCTGCTGGAAGACCCACTTCTTTTAAGCTGTGCACAGAATGAATGCTTCAAGGCCCTGAATCTTGCCCCAACCCCCACGCTTATGTTTTGAAGCCGTGCAAAGCGTGCTTCACAGCCTATGAATCTTCCTGCAACCCGTCGTGTGAGCATCGCGTTTGCAAATGGGGGGGGGGCTGCGCCCCCCCCCCCCAACCCCCCCCCCCCCGCCTTTTTTAGGCGTGCAAAGAGTGCTTCTAAACCTAAGAAGCTTGTTGAAACGCATCATGTCAGCATTGTGTTTGAAATGGGGGGGGGCTGCCCCCCCCCCCGCTTTTTGCGGCGTGCACAGAGTGCTTCTAAAACTAAGAAACTTGTTGGCACCCATCATGTGTTTGAAAGGGGGGGGGGGGGGCTGCGCCCCCCCCCCCAACCCCCCGCTTCCTTTAAGCCGTGCAAAGACTGCTTCAAGGCCCTGAATCTTGCCCCAACCCCTCACTTCTGTTTTGAAGCCGTGCAAAGCGTGCTTCACAGCCTACGAATCTTGCTGAAACCCGTCGTGTGAGCATCGTGTTTGCAAATGGGGGGGGGGTGCGTCCCCCCCAACCCCGCCGCTTTTTTTAGGCGTGCAAAGAGTGCTTCTAAACCTACGAAACTTGTTGAAACCAATCATGTGAGCACTGTGTTTCAGATGGGGGGGCTGCGCCCCCCCCCCCCCCCCCCAACCCCCCCGGTTCTTTTTTAGCCGCGCTGGACTTCCGAAACCCAAATTCCGAACCTGCGTCCTATGACGAAAATTGCCTGTGGGCAAACCTACCCTCCTGCGCGTTTGTTTACTTGGGTGCCAAAAAGGGGTCCTTCTTATCATTGAATTCGTTGAAGCTTAAAACGTTGGGGTGGCCTGATTGAGAGCTTGCCCTCGTCGGGCTCTGCTTGGGCTTTGGGGCGGGAGGCCACAAGCCAGCTGGCACTTTTGCCGGGTGTCTGCTCAATTCCCTTAAGCCCCGAAAATGCCGTCAACGCCAGGCAACGGCGAGCTCCCTCTCGGGAGCGTTGAGGCCGGATGCAAGTTGAAGTCACGAGCTTCCTTCTTAAGTTTATTCGGCTTGGCATCGTATCGAAGGGTTGTTCAGTCGGGAGCACATCTGCCATCTCATTGGGGGTGGAAATGGCATCCACTCAAGCCATCTTCGGACATGCTTCCCGCCTGCGATGCGCCTTTTCGGTCCTGAGGCAGCCCGAGGCCACTGTCAGTCCTCATACGTCGGAACCCTTTCTGGCACGGGTGTGGATTGCTGGCGGTTCAAAGGCTTGCGGGCTCATGGGAAGTACTGGTACTTAAGGGGGTTTACGAAAATAGGGGACCCCTACATGGACCCAAGTAGTAGGATTCCCTTTTAGTAAGGACACAATAAGGTACCCCCAATTTTGGAAACCACCATATCTGCTTCTGCTTCTTCAATAACAACTTGGTCAGGACCCCACTCCCCAAGCCGCTCGAAGCAGGAGCGACTTCTCCTCCTGCTTGCTGAGGAGTAGAGTAGGACAGAGTAGGCGTGAGCGCCAGATGTGCGACCATGACGGTTTGGGGACTTGCGCTTGGCGCTTGCTTGCTATGCCAATGCTTGAAATAGGGGAATAGGGGGTTTGGTTGACAGTGTTTGGGACAGATCTGTGTTTGCTGTGACTGTACCTTCTCCCCGCAGGGAGCCGTGAAGACACGACCGCATTTAAGTAGCTTGCCAGTGAATACCATGCAACGAAGCCGACGGGTTCGAGGCTTCTGTAGCACAAGGATGTTGCTCAAAATCGCCAAACCCAAACCTTAAACATCCTTAAACCCTGAATCCTTAACCAAGCCATAGTCCTAAGGCCCTTCCAGGAGGTGATTCCCCAAAGCCACAAACCACAAAAAGGCACTCAACCCCGAAGGAGCGTTTTTTTCCTGACGACACTGATGTATTGCTACTGCTACTGCGCCCTCATCCAGGACTCAAAGCCCATCAAACGCATCAAACCCATTAAGCCAATGAAACTCATCAAGCCCATCATATGCCCATGAATTAAACCCCCTAAGCCTCAACCCTTGAAAGCCTCGGCTTCTTGAATTCCAAGATCCGGGCTTCTCTGTAGTGCTGCCCTAAGGGCACCTCTGCAGTTTTTGGCCGCAACACGCGGCCACGCAACGGGCGAAAAGTTTTGTTGCATTTAGGGTCTGACGGTTTGATCGGGGAATCTGCCCACACACGTCGCAACTATCAGCTGCCTGAGCCATGTGCCGTAGAAAGCAAAAGGTATCGGCCTGAACCCCAAAAGGGCCCCTTTGAGTTGACATGAAATGCTGTGGATGCGATGAATTGGGACGGTATGGTGATCTCCGCATGCTCCCTATGTCATGAACAGTGCTGGACATGCGGTACAGACCGATAGTTTTGGCTTGCATGGGTGTAGATGACGCACTGTTTGTGGAGTAAATGGATGGTTGCTAGTTACGTGTCAAATGTACTTTGCTCCATGTGTTTGTAGAGTACCATGCACTAGGCATGTGCGCGTGTGGAATGTCCGCTGTATTCCTCACCCCTTTCCGCTTGTCTGCCCCCTGAGCACGGGCAATGGCGTTCAAAATCCTCACCAAGTTGCAGGGTCCTCCTGAAAAAACATGACAAGTCTGATGCTTCCAAGTGAAATGTGAGCTGTGGTGGATCCGTGAGGAGGACGACGACCCCTTCATTGGCACACTGGACTACATCTTTGTGTGCATCGCCCAGATTTGGGTTTCATTCGGCATCCAGGCCGCCACAATGAGAACCCACGATCGAGTGATAGGTATGGGATAGGTCCCGCAGGATCTCGGGCATTGGAATCTTGGGGAGTTCGGGTGTTTGCCGGACTGCCTCGCGAGCTTTGCTGTTTGTATGACTCTCCACGTCTTCTCAGAGCAAGGTCCAAGCATCCGGAGGCGCGGCTCAGTTTGGGATGGACAGGAAGAGAGGTTTAGAGAAGGGTAGCCTTGTTGCAAGAGTGACTGCTTCAATCTGCGTGGGGTTGGTTCGGGTTGGTTGGGGTTGGTTCGGATTGGTTTGGGATTTGGGCCGTGGACGGTACCAAAAAGCGCACACAACCCAGTCAACACCATCACGAGGGGTTCGGGCTTCAAGGGCCGGAGTTGCTCAAAGATCACGTGCTGTATTCCATATGCACCGCTCTGTAGTACAATTAGGCACTTTTGGGGTCTCTGTTATCATGTGGCCCCGGAGCCGCGTATCATAGATTTAGGGTATGCCATGGTACGCCCACCGTGTAGATAGCTTACCATACTTTAAAGCCCTAAGGTCTTCCCCAAAGCCAAAGCAAGACAAACGATCCCCTGAAGATCGCTGGAGCTTCTCCCTGTGCACTCCCACGAGACCTCCCTGCGGGAAGTCGCAACCCTAAATCTTCACGCCTATAGACCCGGCCCTGAACCTCCGAAACCCTAAATGTCCCTTTGCAAAGATATTGGAGGTGCTTCAGGTGGACCGTCTCCCCACGTTGGCGCAGAGCGGCGCGCACAGTTTTTGCGGTTATGCGCTGCGCTAGAGCTTCACGTTTTGGGCTTTGGTCTCTTGTCATTGTTTTGAGACTGCCGGGGGCTGGGTGCCAACGTGCGGCATCAGTTGCGGTGCAGAAATGCTAGTTAAGGCAGGCAAAGGCACTGCACTGAATCATGGCGACTCACATCACTTAACAAAACCCAAGGCCAGGCCTGTAATGAGGCCATAAAAGCCGAAACTCCCAGGGTCCCAAACTCAGCCTAAAGCCGATGGAATATCTGCCAGCCAAGGCAGAAACCACCTCCCTTACCAGCATGAGCCCTCGGCTCCGCCCTGAAGTGGGGAAGGGGAACCCGAGAAGCTCAGGGTTTGGGGGGGTTTCGGCTCTTGGGGGGTTTGGCTCCTAAATCCCAAAAGTAGGTTTCCTTCAATTGTTTGGACTGGAGTCTGTGGACGCTATTGGGTTTTTTTGTACTGAGAAGGGCCCTCGAGATTTGAGTCACGGATTCTCCGATTTCTTTGAGGTCCATCATATTGAGCAAGCGCATTGCAGGCGCAGTTCTGTTACGGCCACTATTTGGTTGTGTTGTGGTATGGTCTCACTCCGCCCCCAGAAGCAGGCAGGAGTTTTACCATATTGAGCTTCAACAAACCGCGGGATTCTACTCAGCGGTCCTTGCTTCGCAGAGGCCCCTGGAAAGTCTGTTCAAGGAACCCTACCCTCCTAATTCCCTGATTCTCTGCAGAGAACTCTGTCCCCTTCATTGCAAGGATCATCTGATGATCTCCGCCCGGCTCCTCCCTCATGGCAAGGCAGCCATCCAGCCAGTGCTCAACGGCAGGACCGACATTCGAAACAACTTGAGATTTTCATGCATGGGTGGAGGTTAGAGTACGCACTTGTTCGTTGGTGCGCTCGCAAGTACGGGAAACGCACAGTTGAGCCGCGAGAGGATCAAGTCGCTCCAGCGTCCAGAGGCCGACGTGCGTGGGCTTCGTTCTTGGTGTTCGCATAGGAGATCCGGGTTCAGGAGGTCAGGTCGCCTTGTTAATGCTGCTGCTGTTAATTGTTCTTGCTGGCTGGGGATTGGGGATTGGGGCTGGGGGGGTTCAGGACTCTAGGGATTTGAGCAGCGCAGGCCAAGGAGAGAGCCTCGAACGGCTCCAAGAGCCTCCGAGGCCACGGCAATTTGCGCTGCCATGGTTGCAAGGCTTCGGAGAAGGCTGAGTTGAGGGCTTGGGGGGCTTGCAAATCCTTCAGTCCTTAGAAAGGTTTGGGGCCAAGAGCTTGCAGTTGGCTGGTGCCCAGTATCATATATCCAGGCATTAGAGGGTCTGGGGCTCTCCGGCACCGAAAAGAATCTGAGTCACGTGCGCTCAACGAATTTCCTGAACAACCCTACATCCTAAGCCTCTGGGCTGAGGCCGATCCTTTGGGAGCTCCGGCAGTTTCCTGCGGAGGCTCCGAAGGGCCGTGCTTGGAACTTGAGACCCTCAAAGCCCTTAAAAACCCTGGCCCTAAAAGGCTGCTCCCTGCACCCTAAGAACTCAAAGCAGAGGTTTAGGCGCTTAGGAGTTGCGTTTTGCCCGCCCCACCCCCAACCGAAGCCTGACTTGGCAGGAGTGAAAGAGTTTGTGGGGTTTAGAGTGTATCTCAGCCAGCCTGCTTGATCTTCCTGCCTGGCGCCCTTGTCGGCTCGATTAAGACGTTGACTGACATTGTACGACGCCTCAAGGCCCTTGAGGTAGAGCGGAACTTTGGACACTCTGTTGAGGCATTCGTTCTGTCCAAGAACGTCGGCCCGCAGCAGCAATTGTAGATGACACGTCCTCCTGCCAATCATGCATATGCAAAGTCTGCAGAGTTCCTTCGCCTACCGCCTACAGACATGCTTGACCTGTTGCAAAACAGCCTGCCTGCATTCATCTGCAAACTCCAAAGACACATGCATACTTTGGATTCGGGAGCTTCTACTCCTACACTTCTGCTCTTCTCAGGCGGCTACCTGCCATGTCGAAGGCACGACTGGGCATCCTTGTGCCTACTTGCCACGTCATGGGCTGGAACTAAGGGAACTGCTCGCCGTTAGCCACCAATAAGCAAAAGTCGCTAAACCGGATTCCAGCAGCCTTTGCACTTTGCCTAAATGCGATGTGTGGTCGCTGCAGTCCTGCACCTCGCAGCCTTGGATCTTGAACATTAGCGCAGATGCTGGCCGTTTATAAGCCTTGGGAGCCTGAAACAGGTCCCACAATAAAGGCTAAGTTCCGCAGGACCCTAAGCCCGAGAACTTTCGATTCCCACGCCTCGCGGTTCGTGCTGGCTTCGCGCCAGGCCCTAAAGTCAGATCGGTGACTTCTGAAGGGCGGGTGTAGCTGTGTAGCTTGTAGGTCTTCTCCCTTTAGGAGGCTTTTCCGTCAAGGCTGTAAAGTGGAAGTAGGTGTCGGGAGCGGCAATATTTTTCAGGCCTTCGGGATTGATGTTTACTTTTTTGGTAGATGGCGGGTTCTCTACGGGCCGGCATGGTTGGCAGTATCGGATATGTGTAGCACGCAGACGTAGCCAGATGCGTCCGACCCGCAGCGTTTTCAAGCAAAAGAAGCTCGGTGATGCTGCAAGCCCAGCCCAATTTAAAAAGCAGAGAGATCCCCAACACTGGGGGCTTCATAAGGGGCTCAGGCTTTAGTGTTGAGGCGTGAGGGAGTCTTGTTGTAAGTTCGGGTTGCTTATAACCCTCCCAACCCTTCTAAACACCTGCCCGAAACCCTGAACCCAAACCCTAAACCCTAATAATGACTGCGAAATTTCCAAAGAACCCTAAACCCTAAACCCCAATAATTACCTAATCACCCCAAATCCTGAGCCCCCCGAGTGACCCTAAACCCGAAACCCGAAAAAAAACCCAATAGCCCTCAACCCTAAACCGTAATAATTGCCTAAACACCCCTATACCTAACAAGCCTGAGAACCCTAAAGACCCTAGTTACCCTAGTTACCTTTCAAGT